AGAAGTAAGTCAGCTGATGCCTTAAGGATATATTCCTCATTTAGTAGTAAGAGTGACAATCAGTCACAAGAATAGCATCTGTCTTCTGAGAAGAATGACATTATTGTTATTAGAAAAGATTGATATCGATTAAGATTTTAAATATTAAGATTTAAGAGATGGATGGTTAATACAGATCTAAGTTGAGTTAATTAACATTTAAGACTAAGATCCAATTCACAGACAGGTTTAAAATTTAATAGATTGACTGATTTTAACATACAGGTTGATTTACTAGCCTTCTACACATCTTTTTGAGCATTGATTATTGTTGTTTTGTGCAAAGGAGCAAGATGGCTATCTGCGCTAGCTGTCCCTAAGCTAATAGCAGAGAAATAATAAAGGGAAGGCATCACCACCCACCCACAACTCTTGGGCTACTCTTTTACCACTGAATAGTGGGATTGACTGTCACATTATAACGCTCCCACGGTTGAATGGGCGTGCATGCTTGGTGGGATGAGGATTTGAACCCGCGACACACAGATTGCGAGACGAGTGCAACAATCACCTGGCCATGCAGGGCCGATTATTGTTTGTCTGGATAAAAATTGTTTCACTGTGTTTAACTTGCGTCCAATCTCTTTCTTTGCTTTAAACTCAGTCGAGGTAGGAGAATTTAGATTTTTGCTTTGCCAAATGTTTTCTGGTAAGCTTCCTGTTATTCTGCATTTCATAACTAATTACTCCAAGGGATATTATCAGTGAACCTGGAAATGTCATACTGGCAAATACAAAACAGCAAAGGTCTTGTTTAAACTTTTTGGTTTGCTGTAACAAATTTCTGAGGTTTAGCTGCAATTATAATTTACCCTTACATGATGTATTTCTTTCCATAGTTTGTATAAGTGATTGACAAAAACAATGAAACATGACATTGTTATTCTTTCAACTCAAAAGTGGAAAGTCCCATGCCACTCATAAGTTTACAAATTTGGCAAAACTTTTCCCTTTAAAGTATTTTAAATATTTTCTTCAAGAATCTTATTAACGTCAAGGTATAAACTTCTTGAAAGTGGTCAGCTCGTAAATCTTAAAACATTGGTAATTCTTAATGAAATTCTACTTAGTTACTTTCAATGAAAGACATTCACCATTAAAGCAGTTCAAAATACCTTGTGTAAGCTTAACTTCTGAATCTGAAACAATAGCTACAGAAGCTATGGCTAGTTTAAAGTAGGGAGAGTATTTTGGACTTGCCCACCAAATGGTGATAAGATCTTCATCTTTGTATTGGTACTGTCACTCATTAAATGAAGTTAGTTGTCTATAATTATAGCTCAGGCATTGGAAACTTAGGGATGTAACTATTGGAGAATCTGTCACCCTTACCCTTCTAGTTTTAAATGTACAACGGGTGAATTATAGTTCTGTAGAAAATAGAAAGACTATCCAGAAATGACCAAATTGTCCCAAGAACAGTGGGTTACATGTGCACAAGTTGAAAAGATTGAGGGCTTCCAAGCATACAAGTGGTGTCCCATGGTTTGTTGTAGACGCAGTATAACGTAACATTGCCATTTGCTGCAATGTTACAATTAAGGCATGAAACATGCTGTTGTCCTTGTCTACCAATCACGCTGCATGTGCCAAAGCAATTACCTGTCGAAGGATTAGTGCTGATGTGTAATAATGAATTTTTGACTTATCATCTTCCAGTTAAAGTTATCATTGCCATGGTAACAGAGCTTGAGATAATGCAGAGTAACCAAGTAATTGGGTCAGTGCAGCTTCATCACATATGAAGGCAAAAGTATGGCTTTAATTTTAAGTATCTTAAGTTATAAGGTGTGGTATATGTTATCAATATGAACTCAATACAGAAACAGGAACTCCGTAAATTTTTGATGGAGTTTACTTATATGCCTTTGTAGAGTCAGACGACCATTAAGGTAAAACTATGATAACACTTCATCATAAAGATGCAGGTAATGAATGTATGATAAAACAACTTCTATGCAGGCTTACTTTGAAAATATTGGATGTTGTCAGTGCTTAAATAGAGTGAATATAAATGGGAAGCATATTTCAACTTTCAGAGATGCTTAGTCATCTCCAGTCATGATTGCAAGAAAGAAAGGTTGAAATGGAAGGCAAATGTGGTAACACACACTGATGTCTTTCTGGCTACTGATAAGTAAAACTGGATGATAAAAGTAGGTAATTCTACTATCAGCACTGTGTATAGACTGTACAAATTCCATGTTATGTTACTAAGCTTGGATAGTGCACTTGATATTTTTAGGGCTTACACTGGAGGACTGTAATGGGAGAGATTTCTCATGTATGTGAATAACATTTTGGCTTTCATTTACCTATTTCATGATGACATTAAGAATGATGTTTTAGTTTACCAAAGACCTAGGCTTAAAGCTGAAACTATGGATATATGTGTTTATATGAACAGAAGTGAAGTTTCCTGGTTCTATTGTAGGAGGACAGAGCGTTCCTCAATTGTGGAAAGATCACAGTGGTCAAGAACAGGTTCCGAGCTGAAACCAAATGAAAAGTCTACAGCTTTCTAGATTTTGTATGCAGTTGTGGCCATTTTCCCCCCATAAAACCAAGAAATGTTTGCGTTTTCTAAAACTAATTATGAAATTTCTTTAAGTGACCATTAAAAAAATGAACAAATTCCAACTCTTAAAGCTTGTTTTGGTGGAGGCTTTGAATTATCTCTATTAAGATTGCCTTTTCATTCTGGATACTGATACCAGTAATAGTTGAATTGTTAGAGGTGATAATGCTATGGAACAATCATCAAATTGCCTATGGGAAGCATATACTAACATCAACAGACCATAAAGATGATTCTTCAGGAAATTTTATGATATTCTGCAGTAGGAACAGTGAGAATAGCAGAGAGAAGGGGTTATTTTGTGTGTATATATGATTGAAGCATTGTTTCAAAAGTTCTTAAAAATATAATTCTTGAAAGAAAAGTGAGAGAGAGAGATGCTTTGTTCTTGCATTAGCAAACTTTGCTGGGTAAGTCTCTCCTTGTCATGTAAAGTGTCACATTGCTTTCAGTTTCAATACTTGCTTAAGAATTCCGTAATGTTAATGATAAGACCATAATTAAGCCTAATGTAAAGTTTAAAACGTTTTAAGGTTAAAAGTATTATGTTCTTGATTTTAGAAAAATCTGCTTTCAACAAGCAAGAATAATGAAATGAAAGAATAACTGAAAAGCTATTCTAAATGTGATAAAAGCTTTCTTGAAGCCCTGAGAAAGTTCTATTATTTAGGTTAAATATGGCGAAACAGGGGTACATATTGTTACGTCTCCGTTTGTTAATTGATTTTTCCGTAACTTCGTTCCGACGAAATTTTA